AGGCTAATGTATAGCCTTCGACTTATGTATGAAGCGTATGAGCACACGACTTATCAGCAAAAGTACCCTACAATAAAGTAAGCAACTTCGTTGAGATTGCAAATTTAGTCGTTACATACAAAGAAAAATGGAAGTTTAACAATATGAACAACACTTGCAACCAAACTCCTTCAGAACTCGATCACGTCTGATTTCAGCAGCAGTAGTGGTGCTCACGACATTGATTGCACGACGTTCATTTTACACGGGCAACACAGTACGGTTACTCGTTTAAAATGAATATTGTGCATCCGTGTTCCCCGTTTGCAGTGAATTATTCAAAGAATACATCATTTTTGAGTCACTTCAAAGTTGAAGGCGACTGAACCACAAATGTGCACAATTCAATCAATCTCACACGATCAAAACTCTAATTCCACTCTCCCACAACCAATTTAATCGTTAAGCAAAATCTCTGTATGCACTGATCCACTGTGTATACATACTCTCAGGAAGTTGGAAATCTTTTGGGCCCGCCTCTACCGTAGCACCGATCTTCCCTTCAATAAATGAAAAGTATGTTGGAGCACAGCCCAACTCACTGGCCATTTTACATCACGCTCCAGCCGTATGCTAGCGCGAACAAGAGTGTAGACAAGGGAGGAGCCTACGAAGAGAGAAGAGTGAGTAGAGCCGGAAAATATCAATCCTCACAAACTGCAGCTGAACCGAACGCACCAAACTGGCGATTTTCCATTCTCTTGGTCCATTAGTGTATTCCCTATTCCAATATTCATTTGTTGACACCTAGACGAATTGGATCTATGAAACGCATTTGTAGACACTGCGCTGTGGAAGGATACAAGATCATTTCCGAGAGTCGTGAATACCCTCGCGAATTTGCTTGAACGTATACGATGGCATTTTTATTTAGCAGGAATACTGGCTGCCTTTTGGTAGCCGATTGTTGCGAACACAACGATATCGGTTGAAAATTCATCGCGGACAATAAAAACTGTTCTCGAATCGACAATAGCTAATCGTATCACATAGAAAAAAAATAGACGAGTTGAACATTTTGTTTAATTATACAAATATAAAGTGCAAAATGCAAAAATAAAACTTAAATTAACAACATCACAACTGTGGCATGGGTCACCTCCGAATGAACGCGACACTTCGGTAGATGTCGCTCATAACTGCCTACTACTAAAGCGTTCAGCTTGAAATCATCACCGATGACAAAATAGAACAATGATTGTTGAGTGGGGTGGAAAGTGCCCGTCAACATTACCATTACGTAGAAGAAGCATGCGAAATAGATAGAACACATCCTTCAAAAAGCATTCACTGTCGAAAGTGCAATGATCAGCAAACGACATCCACGAGTGAGCTTTCTTATCGAAGTTAAAAATAAATATTGCATGCGTCACTCACAATCAAAAGTTAAGATTGCGTACTGCTGTACTGTACAGTTATGAACTCGCTCTATATGAACGAACGCATCATAAGGAACGAAAGTGTTTCAAATTGAATAGAGTATAACGAGAATGCTACCCCAATTCAGCTTTTTCTAAGCCAAACACTGAGGATTTCACACCGTACAGATGATGCTCAAAATGTACATCAAAGTCGAATCCTTCAGAAACATTTCGAACTGACTAATGATCAACGAATTTTTACTGATGATATTGACAGATGAACGATAAAGAATAACAACTGAACGAAATAAATCTCAATACGAAGTTATACATTTTGATTATTACCGCATTCACATGAGCAAGCGAATCGTAAACGAAACATGAGAAACTTAATTGAATAACGGCGCACAAAAACAATTATGGTTAACTGCTCAAATCTGAACTAATTAGCTAGTATAATCACACACTTGAGCACAAAAGCTGGAGCACTAAATGAGAAAAAGATTTCTGAAATATGACAGATCAACTGTTCTGCAGAGGTGTTCGTCATGATAACTAAAAATACAATAATGTCACATGAATAACATTTGAAAACATTCACAACATTTCGTTACAGATTCAATTCATTGAAACATGAAATAATCAACGAAGAAATTGCAACACAGAAGAGTTAACAGATTACTACTCAACCCAAGAATTCGGCACTCGTTCTCTGCTATTCAGACAGAAATGAACAAGAATTGTCGTCAACTAATTAGCCGTTTTGATTACATTCACTGAAAGCTTCAAAGTAAACAACAACAGGATGTGAACCGAATGTAATCAAAATTCAATATGATTTACATGAAAATTTCTTCCTTCATATCCAATGTTTCTTTTCAAACAAATAGAATAACATGAGATTCGCATAATATCAACAAACTGTAATAAGATTATTTCAGAGTTAATACAAATTAAGTGCAAACCACGGTAATAATAATAATGAACCAAATCGCGATGATGAATTGATTCGAACAGAAATGACCCGAGAAATGAAACGAACAGTGGAAAAGGCAGATTGTGTATTAATCAATTGTAATGAATCGAACACAAACGATCACAAGCAGCTATTATTTATCAAACAAACATTTACGAAGCAGGACAAGAACGACCATGACAAAGATACTAGTCGGATGTTGGTTCGTCATCATATGGTCCTTCAGCGAGACTATTATGACTTTGCTCTCCACGAGGATCCATTTCAGCTGCCCAATTGAAATTCAGTAATGCCATATGTGTATTGCCTAATTTTTTATATACACGACCCAAAAGAAAGAACACCTGAAAAGATAACAATAAGCTTCAACCACCAACATTAACTTATGAAGAAACATCTCAATAAAATTCAAATAACAAAAATTCTTTGAACCAAATAACAAGAATTCTTTGAACCATGAAAGAAAGAAGTATCAAAAACGTTTGAAATCTTATACGGATATTCTATCAGCTTCAGTACAAGATTTAAACCAAAGAATCCGATAGGATCGAACTCACCTGAGCTTCATCATGAGCATAGAGTTTCAGTTCATTGAGTTCATCTCTACATTTTTCATACTCATGTTTCTCATAAAGTAATCTTGCCCGGTAAAAACGACATGCAGCGTTCTCGGGTGTTATTTTCAAGGCTCTTTGCAACAAATCCATTGCCTCAAGAAAACAGTATTAGAATTAGTTATACATATTTCAAGTGTTGAAGAAGTGCACGTCATTAAAGTGAAATATTCCTATTTAGAGAGGAAAACCATGGAAACGTTTTGAAACAAAAAGAATCGCACAAATTGGAGCTTGTATTCGTTCAGAAAATGCAATTGCTTTTGTCAGCGTATTCACTACATTCTCGAATGATTCTTGCACGGTTACCATAAGCATGCAATATATTGAAATAAGCAACAACAACTTACAGCGAGATCGTTGTGAAGTGCTTGTTCAATGACAGATAATTGACAAAGAACAACAGAATTGTAAGGATTGATGTGCACAGCACGCACTAGATATGAACGAGCTAAATGTAGGCATTCACGCTTGAAATGCATCAAACCAAGTCCAAACCATGCTCTGTAGTCGATTGGACACAATAATACAGCACGTCTGAATAAAGCAACATCATTATCATAGAATATTATCATCCCGGTCAACTACTATCCAAAACCAACCTGAATGCACTAGTAGCCTTTTCCAGTTGATCGGTGTCAAGCAGTTCATGACCAAGCAATGAATAAGCGTATGCGAATCGTGGGTTCAATGAGATCGCACGCTCGAAGCATTCAATAGCGATGTCCGGTTGCTTCTGTACACTAAAGCAGTTACCAGCCACACACCACGTCTCAGGATTTGCTCGTGCGCTTTCTGTCAGTTCAGATGCCAACAGTGATAACTGACGTGATTCTTGACTGTGCCACAAAACTGTTGACAATACCTTCAAGCCAAACGTTATATACGAATTTTGCATTTAATTCTTTAAACAACTCACGTTGTTGTGATTCATTATAATCACCGATTAACGTCTTTGAAGAAGTCCAATTATTTTACAAAAGAATAATAATTATGAATGCATTCAATTCGTACACCCACTACACAGAACTTGCAACAAATAATACCTCCATTCCAGAAACACGATAAGGAAATTGTTTATGCAATGATTCGAGTAATTCTCTTGATTTATTGTATTCGAGCCTCTCCAAATAAGCGCGTGCTGCCAATTCACGTACGAGTGGCGTCTCTGCGAAACGTGCGGGCATACTGTTTACTCGTTCCAGCACCTTTTTGGTTCTGTATCGCGATAACAAACTTTGCATCAATGCTAGCTGACAAATGCATTCAGTCAAATTCACTGAAAGTAAACCAAAAAAGTTTCAAAATAAAATTGGCACGACAAAGGTTGAGATTCGAAAGAATACAGAAACAATTTCAAGGTCCTGGCAACATCCTATTTCAGTAGTAACAGTTATCACATGAGCACATAAAATTTCGATGAATAATACATATAGATCAATAACTGTAGCGAATGACAATTTTTGGAGAACAACTAATACATTGGAGCTTATGATATGGCGTTCGGATGCGAATTGGTCGATCTGTCAAAAATAAATGCTGTTATCAAAAAAAATGGAAAAAATACGAAAACAGACTGAAGGGTAAATTGACAAAAATAACAAACTCATATCATCGCTCCACACAGAAGATTTACTCTGAGTGTCAGCTACACTAAAAGGATTCAGAGTTAATGAAGTAGTACAGTGGTTACAAGTTTCACATTCTGAACGTTTACTATCAGATGTAACCACTGGTGTCGTTCTCGTCGGTGCCTCTCCAGAAACACTGATTTGTGGGTTAGATGGTAATAATGTGATAGCACTTGACTCTACATCATCCTATAAACATGCTTGATCACACTCCACTCCAACAAGTTTTTAAAACTATGATCCATTTGTATATCTCGAGTTCAATCGAAGTAATCGCAGGACCGAAGTGACGACACCTTTAGTTGGGCATTCTTATCAGCAAGAGGTGATGCAGCCGACTGCGAACCGGAACGCGTTCGACGTGAAACGGTTGAAATAGGTTTTGTGGAAGAATCAGAATCGGGAGATTCAATTAATTTGTGGATTGATGGAGCAGAAGATGGCGACGGACGAGGAACCTTTATTGCTACACTGTTCGCCTCCATTTCGTTGATCCTATTCATCGATCTGCAACCACTCGCGGTCATCAACATGCAAAATAAGTTCAGTCTCGAATTCAGCTCAGTACTATGGAGTATGCTGCAAATTTTCGCTTTAAAAACTAGATCACAAAGCTATGCTGAAATGTGAGTTTTTACAGTTTTGAGTGATAAAATTTTTCGGTGCATAAATCATTAACGCGAACTTCAATATTATTCAAAGTTCACATAACACCAAATTTTTTCGCTAACACCGAACGTACTCAGATAAAAAGACTGATATTCAGTGCATGCTGATGAATACCATAACCGCCATGATGTAATGCATCGCAAAAACTGATTCATCCCCGAAATATTGGAACTATTATAAAGGATGAAAAGAACCTTAGTTGCTTGTCATGAACAGTGCGTGAGGTAGAACCGGGTGAAAGAGCAGCATGCTGGGAACGAGACGATGCTCGTAATTCCCTTGCCATTAGCGACAAAGTCGACACGTTCTCGCTATCTTGCGATGATGGGAAAAGTCGAGTGCTACGTCTAGGTTCAACGCCACCACCAGGCTCAGATAGATGTCGTGATCCGTGAACTATTTTTCGTGACGCATTTAAATGCTGCAATCAAACTTTTTCATACATCTGTTTAAATCTCCTTTTTATGAAAGCATTTCTTCACATTCAACTCCCAACTATGCTCTTTGTTATGTATTTTATTTAAAGACGTACACAAAATATCCTACGCCAGAATGCTGTTACAAAATTCTCATGCTTCTTTCAACAATGGCAGTCAAGTACAATTCCTCAAAAAATAATGAAAAAATTGATTACCCCTCCCCTGTCTTCTCGGATATAATTCAACCAAAACTATGACAGAATTTGAGAAAAAATTTTCTAAGCACAATTTCGGTTTATTCTTCGACTTTCATAATCAAGCAAAGCAAAGAACACATCTAATTCTGATGAATTGAGCCCTACCTCTCCCTAAAGCATAGTAAGAACCGAATGCAGATGATACACAACGATGACAGGAAAGAAAAAGCATTTGAGCCACAATTATTACGCTTTTTACATATGTCAGAATAAATAGTCCTAAACATACCGATTTTTTCTTTGGTGCAAAACACGAAATTTTTCTTTCGGCTTCACTTACAATTGGTGTATTTTTGTCTTCATCATTCAAGTTCTTTTCTGAAGATGTCTGCTTACTTGATTCACTGAAATTAACGATGTATCAATAACCTTCTCAAAATAATGAACAGAACACAATGAAAAGTTATTTGCACCCGTACAAATCTTCATTGTCCCAACTCGATACGGTTTAATATAACTGAAATGTAAATCTGAACCAATGCAGCAAATCTTGTGACATTACAAGAAATCATGGTTTGAAACAGACCAAGCCAAAATTTAATGAAAATTTATCGAGGTTCTAATTCCTCCCATACAATAACGTTTCTAATCGGCAGTTGTGTTGATTAGATCTCATATTAACTCATTAGAGCATTATCAAATTATCATAAAATCCAACAACATAAAACACCAAGTGCAAAAATATCGTCTGTAAAATAATTTCATAAACAGACAAAAAAAGAGATAGAAGAATAAAAAGAAATAGAGTAAAATCTCAACAGATTTCATGAATGGATTATTAAATTTCATAAACAATATTCGGTTATAAATGACTGCGCGAAACGATAAAAGGAGACATCTCAAAGAATAATAAATGAAACAAACAAATCTTACGTCTGCAAGAAATCCGTTTTAGAGCCACTTTTCTTGGCGCCAATTTTCCACGAAAACTGCTCATAGATTTCATCAATATCACGTGATGCCCCTAATTCGCACTGTGTTCTAATCGATGACCATGAGAATATATTTTGGTTTATAGCACGACGATTTTCACGTTTGGCTTCATCGGTACGTCCAGTTTCACTTCAAATTAGTCAAGCTTTTAACAAGTAATCAGGAAAATTCAAAGAATTTACAAAGATGAACAGGAGAGCGATTAGTATATCAAAAATTCCAAATAGAATTTTGGAAACTCACATGAATATTTTAGCAAGTTGCGCTCGGGCGAATGGCTCCACGATGCTCCCCTCGAATGAGGGATGTAAACGTGCTTCGTTGTTTGCCCGTAATACATTCTCAGCCTCATCCACTCTGAACAGGAGATAGTTATCACTAATTGAAATTTGACTTTCATTCCATTCGACTGAAGGATGAAATGACTTTTTTTTAATGCCTATGATCCAAAAATAGTAAAATGGTGTATTTTACTTGACTGTGTTCCCACAGCCCATAAGAAGATACCAGCATGAATGATAACTAACTTATTCAACTCATAACAGCATCGAGCGAACAAAAAGCGTAGTTCCGGAGTATCATAACCACCAATTGATAGTAACTTGTAGCAAGCTTCTATTCTTCCGGCTCGTAGCAGACATTGCGCGAGTAGATACAAAGAATTCGTGTTTTTCACTAAAATTTGTGCACCTCTTAATGGTATTGATCATATCAAATATTCTCTCAAACAATTATCCGCCTAAATGAATCTCTTCGAAAAATTTCCATAAGATTATGACTGCTATGTTCTTCATCAAGAGAATACGGTGTGCCATATGAACTATTAAGTCAATTCTTGCCTTGTGTATTGTATAATTCAGCCAACAGAATAGCGTCATCTATGGCGAAAAATTCGAGGTAACAATACATTACATTCTGAAATATCAAGATTCGTTAATCGTGATGCGACCGCAGCTGACTTCTTTCATTACATGAAAAAAATGAGATGCTTAAAAACCATAAATATTGGCATGAAACAATGTTTTGACGTAACATTGCCACAAGGATGCTTGCCATTAATTCACACCAAAAACCGAAACATTTTAGTGAGATGAAAGGACATCTAAATAGAAATTCAACTGCATGTTTCAAGACATAAGTCTAAGCAGTAATTTACATTGATTGTCGCTTGTTACAGCAATTTTGAAAGAGTGCACAGCCTAATTTATCATAAATAAAAAAGCAACCTCGATAGCACTACGAGGTGGAGAAGCGAAAACTGGGGCATGCAAGATGGCTTGCTGCATGACAACGTCGCAAAGCCACTAATGATGATCTAATATCGCTTCACCACCAAACGTTTTCAGTCAAATTTCTGAAATTATCCACTTTTCCGAATTAATCAATGTGAATATATTCAATCGTCAAACAGAAATGCGGAAAAATATCTTTCATTTCAACTACAGTTAAACAATCGCATCATCAAAGTATAGAAAAATAGGAAAGAGACAACAAATAACAGGAGATACTCATGCTAAAAGCGCGAATTACAGCAAGAATGGTGATAATCTTCTGCAAAAAAAACGTTAACCTAACGGATATGGCACTCCAATTGAGATGCAATTCTTCAGAAAACTTTTCAGTGAAAGGATTCGCTATTTTGGTGTCGCATTAAAATGACTCATCCAATGATAATCGAATGAGATTATCATCAAACTTCTAACTTGAGATTTCGTCTCTCCTTGAAACCATCTTTTCTTTATTTGATAAAATTTTGAAATCAAAAACCCTCCTCCCTTACCACAAACACCCAGCCGGAAATAAGCATTATATGTTTACACTGTCTATATATAATTACACATACATATGCTATGAAATGGGACGGCAATGCCAACCAATACCTTCGCACGCGTGCGGTAAGCACCATGCAGCCAAAGATTGCGTGTTCATCTTTTGAAAAATCGCTCGTCGCAACTCGTGCGTTCGTTCAAGTGCGCAACGTGGTGGAGGGTGTCACCATGGGCGCTTGCATTACCGTATCCTCATATAGACTAGCCCTCACATGAAAAGATGTTGAGAGGTAGCTGGTATTGTAACGCAACGTAGCCTAAGGCTAAGCCTAAACCTAAACTTGAACATTAACTTGAGCTCAACATTGAGCCTAAGCGTAAGGGCTGAGCCTAAGCCTTTAATAAAAATCTTACAGTGATATGATAGAAGCGACACTTTATTTAGTGCATACCTCAGCTCGATATGAGCCTCAGCCTGAGCCTAAGCCCAAATATAATCCATACACATATTCCGATTTGATTACCATCACTTGGTTGAATGTTATTCGAAGAAGATATCTCGCAGCACAATACTTGTAGTGCGGACATCAACTTACATCACCATTGCGCACTTGGACGAACGCGCGATTTGCGATTAGAGATTTTTCAATGAATGAACTGGTGATGGCTTCCGTGCGATCGGAACCTGACCGACGTGAAATTTCTTCATAGCGGCAATCGGAATTCCGATCAACTGTCGAGATGGTTCGGTCAGAATCCGACCATACGGACATTTTGATTCCCCGACAATCCCAATTCCGACCGACCTTCCAAACTGTTTGGTCGGAATCCGAATGTCCGAATACCGGCTAAACAGTGTCGAATTTTTCGGACCGATTGTCGGTCGGACTCCATCACTACTTTCTGGAAACGTACCTGAACCCTTCCAAATTGAGAACAGATTCTGATACAGTTTTAGTCCTATCAACTGTATGTTTTGGTATTTATCGGAGACTTCACCATAATTTTCCCTTCAAAACATCTTTCAGAAATGACGAAAGCGAAAGACCGAATTGCGTTTAAGCTCATAGTTAAGTGAGGCTCACATCCAGGAACCATGTGTTTGTTTAATAGTAACCTTTCCCGAATGCAGTTCACCACAATAACTGCCTCTCTGTCGTTCAGTGATGATTGTGGTGTTGCTCCACACTTTCCGTCCCTTCTGTTCCGTGCCGTTTATCTATCTAGGAGTACGCGCGCAGAGCTATTGGTTGGCGTTCTTATCCAGAGGATATACTTCTTTGGCACGTTCCCATATAAAATGAATTTAAAATTGGTTCTATAATTCAATTTTATGCATTAAATTTAAAAATGTTATACTGTAATCCATTTCAACAAAACGATCGCAACAAACATATTTTCTTCTACGTGTGAATATTGATTATGAGAGCAGTTATACGAGTCTTCATCAATAGAGATAAAAATTAGTAGGAAATAGTATAGGTATATTGTTTCGTCATATCCAACGAACGATTATATAAATTGTGTTCACTTGAGTCGTCGAAGCTTGATTCCAACAGTGCTTAATTTTTGCTTACATACGTTCTTTAATTCAGATCAGTTCAAATGTCTACCGTGGAAATTAGTAAAATGAGTAGTTCAAGTATAAAGTAAGTCAATTTAACTGTTACTTCGTTCCAATTATTTATTCATTCATCTATGTATTTGTTTTCATTCGTCACTTCGATTTAACTGCGATTATTTCACGTTGTAATTCACACGAAGTGTTTTATTACTGATTGTGAGGAATTTATGAACACCAACAAGGTTGGTTATTGTTAATCTCTCAGTTGCTTCCGCCCAACAGCTGGACATCTGAAAGGTTTTTACGCGTTTAATAAATACTCCATTAAACTTTTTGACAATTTCAGTTGTAATCGTGGCCACACTGGCCTCGGGTGTTGTTCCTGACGCCCCTAACACCCAGTTCGATTCCAATCGGTTCCAAGTGCTAGAAGGATTAGTTAACGGTATATTTTTTATTTCGTCCCAAGTTTGTTGATAATAGTGAAGATAAATGAGTACACGGAACCATGTGGTGTTGATGAGACGTGCGTTCATTATAGTCTTCATCGTTATTGAAGCCTTTATGCTCAGAAGCAATATGGTGATAATATTCATCATCCCTGTATTAATACAACCGGTTGTTATCTGTATTCTGTATTCACCGGTTATCTATTAATACAACCGGCGTCAGGCTCGGATTTGTTTTGATGTGAACACAATTTTTACTGACTGATCATCAAAGATCACAAATTTTCAATGATATCCAACCACCGAATCTTCAAAGTTTTTATGGAAAAGTTCATTCTACCTTTTCTCTGGAACCTCTCATCAATTTGAATGGAGTCCTTCCTGAAGCTGCGTGAATGATGTTCCACTGTGTAAGTTCAACGCAGGGTTGATATTACAAGTGGGTGGTCCAGTAAAAACGTTTGAACGATCATATTGAGATAGTAAGGAGAAGATATTCTTGCCGTTGTAAATAAAATAGTTCAGAAAAGACTATGTTCAGTGAAATGGATTTTTTTTAAATCGAATTCCATTGATTGACATGATCTTGGAGATGTTCTTGTTCTCATGTCTTATCTGTCACTTTGTTTTACGTGGGATTGCGTGATAGGTGTTTTTATAAGATTGATGATAGCGATGCGTCGATAATCATGTGAATTTTACGCTTTTATTGAAACCGTTCTCAAACCTTTTTGGATGAGATTTGCAAATAAAGGCTAAATTTCGTGACCGAAATCTCAATTCATTTCATGTATTTGAAATAAATGCATTCTTTATCAATAATTTTTGTAGCATGGTTATTGTAGTAACTGATTTTTTTGCTTATATTTCCTGATAGCAATGGAAGATGTATCAACATGAACTACTGCTTCACATTCTAAAGCAAACGTACAACTTACTCCTCTCAGTACCTCAACTGTTGGTTCTAGTACTCTCTTCATTCTCGTCAAAAAAAATGAAATAGAAAATCCAAGCAGTCTCTCTCTCTGTATTATCTTATCGTCATTCGTCTCCTTTTAATAGGTGATTAATTCGCAACGTACTCGCAAATATTGAATGTTGCAGATGTGTCATCGGAGTGGTGCTGCCATCTAGCAGATAGCGAGACTTTGGCTCTTTTCTTACCGCTACATAAACCCGTTTCCACGCTCTCAAAGGGTGCATTCGTCTCTCTGCTCGAGTTCTGTGAGGATGAATTGCCAGTAAAACGTGTTCTCATTTGTGTCAACAAGAAAAACATCACGCCAGAGGTAGTTTATATTTGCTTATTGTCATGTTAGTGAGACGAAAGATAAAATTTTGTTCGTTCAAATTTCAAAGTTAGGATGAGGTGTAATCAACTTGTTTTGAATGTGGTTTTATAATTCATCTACATGGTACTGACAAACTGCAAACGAGCGGTTATTCCTAGGCATATAAGGTGTAGATGTGCATCTATTGATGTAAATATCATTAGTTATCAGTCATTTATGATGGACTGGTCGTGCTTAGTTGAACGTTGTTTGTATCAGTCATTACAATTAAGCTCATTTAAATGTGGTTCTTTCACCGTATTTAAAAGAATAATGTTTTATGTTCTTATTGATAGTTGGTAAGTGCTAACCGTGCGATCTCATATTTGGCGTGATTTAACAACGTAATGTACTAAACTAATGGTTCTCAACCTTTTTTCTCGCCCACACCCCTTCAAAATTGTAAAATCTCATTGCATCCCTCACAGCAATTTAAAATGTCCTCGCATCACTCTGTACCTCTCATCCCCTACAGTGAGTTTCTGTGGTGTAGATAATTGTATACCATTGAAATACGTTCTAGCCTTTTTAAAAATCATACGTTAAAGTAAATCCACCCTCACTTTCTTTATACACATATATGTGTTGAAATCAGCCCTCGCCTACTTTAATATACGAAAAATGAAATGTTGTTTCGCACCTCTGACATATTATCTCGCGTTTCCAAGAGATGCGAACACGCCTGGTTGAGAAACCCTGCGCTCAAACGGTGATATATAAGAGTTTATATTTGATGCGAGTGTAATATGTTGCGAGTGAACATTATTGGAAATATTCTTGCAGATTTCGTCATGTTTCAAATACATCGGCTTCACTCCACTTCATCCGGATCACTATCCTTCCAAGCTCGACCCGAACTCCATTTTTGCTATGGTTTACAATATTTAAGTATTTTTTAAAAAGCATTTGTATATGCACATTGTTATATCACATGAGTGGTGAATGAATGGAATGATGCTTAATATAGCAACGTAATTAAGCCTGAACTTCGAAGAGCCAAAATACTGATCTTTTTAATTTCAATTCAAATTTGGTGAATTCTGTAACTACTGTCATATCCGTTCATGTGGTGTAAAATTTCTCTTGTTCACTTTCCTTCACAATTTACCGCTGTATCTTCTGCTATTTTTCGTTTTTTTTTTACTCGCAAATAAATTTTCGTATAGTAGCTGTGTACATTTATGAATGTTTCATATTGCTATCAATTATAATTTTATTTTTGCATATTTTCTCGATTGTGTTTCTTTCGATCATTTTATTCACAATATTTTGTTTGTGCAGTGAATCGATTACATCGCAATAAACTTCTTCTTTAAAATTATTCTTCACTCAGTCGAATTATTTCCACGCTATGTTTACGTCTCATAAAGCAGACGTCCAGTATCGAATTTTATCATTACTTTGTTGAAGCATCATTCTTTCAATTTAGTGATTCTCATGCGAATAAATTTATGTTGCGCCAGTCGTACGATTCGGATTCGTTGTACACAATAGTGCTTAATTTCTATCATTGTTGTCTTTGCATTCCTTTCGCAAATCATTCGATTTTTTTGTTTTCAATCCCTCGAGATTTGATTCATTCAATTTGTTTCGTCAAATCCGCTGTGGGACTACACTGATCAGTAAATGCTACCGCGGTAAACGGTTTAAAATGTTTACGAAGCAGTCAAAAATCTTTTCAGCACTTTCATATGTTGGAGTAGGGTAAAAGGAAGAGATGACTGTTATTGACGCGAATGATGAGTCAAATTTAAGTAATCTATTGGAATGTTTACCAATGACAACAGTTCGATATGCATTTGCCTATGGCTCAGGTGCAGTTGCTCAAAAAGATTCTAAAACAGCTGATAAAATGGTTGATTTCATAATTGTTTCGAGTAATTCACTCGGATTTCATCAAGAAAACTTATCATTGAATCCATCACATTATTCATTCGTACGACATTTTGGAGCTCACTCGATCAACAATTTGCAACGTAATTTTGCGGCACGTGTTTTTTACAATACTCACATACGCTATAAGGTTTCGCTTTTGTTTTGCACACAATTTCACTAGAACGCTTTCCGGTTACACCCTTACAAAGAGTAATATGATCATAAAAAACGAATTCACTCTGAATGAATTGAGAAATAAATCCAAGTAAGTCACATAATATGTGATAATTTCGTTTACCCTAATACTTGATTAGTTGTTTGTAAAATGAAGGAGTATGTATAAGCTATACTGAAGCTTCATGGATAGTTGGATGTGAATAATAAAGCATATGGATGTAACGTCCGCTCTTTGATAGAATCGCCTAATGAAATATGGTGTTATTGAATGTGATGACCTTCAACGTGATCTGCTTGATTGGCGATGGCTTTATGTAGCTGGTCGATTGCACAAACCAGTAGTGCACATCATTAAGCCACCGCAGTCAATTGCTTCGGCTATCTATGAAAATCGTATCAGCGCTGTTCAGGTATACACATTCACTTAGCGAGCAGTTACACATGAAGTTTTGTAGAGAATGCTATGTTTGGAGTATAGATTAAAATGAATTGCATTCTAATATCAATTCATCTTACAGGCTGCTCTTCTTCTTTTACCAGATACTTTCAATATGGATCAGTTCTTTTCACAAATCGTTTCATTCTCATATCGTGGTGATTTTCGAATGTTATTTGGGGAGGATAAAAACAAAATAGAGAGAATCGTCAAAGGAAGTAATCGTCAATTACATGATATTTACATCCCGATTTTACAAGCAGATAGTCGTACACTTGTGCGAGGTTTTCGAGTGGAACAAGTGCGTTTGATTGAATTTTGATTGAAATCAGAACATTTTTTGATAATTCACTTGTTTTATTTGTCATCTTTATAACGTATCGAAATCCGTTACCTCTACCTTCAAAAAATAATCATGTCGAAAAAACAAGCAATTTTACTTGATGGTTGGTCTATATTTGGAATGAACTGGATACAACTGAATATCGATAATGATTTTTGCTATATTACGAAAGCGAAACTGAATTTTCTAGTAAAAGATAACTTTTTCTTGTGTTTGAATAATTTAATTACAAAATCTGATTTTATAAAGGATCTTAGCACGGCATCCATTTATCATCGTATGCAATTGTTGCCTTGTACGGTCCTTGAAAGGCTTCAGCGAGTTGCCAATCGACGAGATGCAAAGCAACGCGATATTGGTAATGAATAAAATATTTTTCTTTAGGCACTTTGTTGGTGAATTCAGATCATCTTTCAGAACTTCATTTCACTCATGTTAACAGTCATATACTTCCTCTGTTGCACAATATACAAATGTTCATTGGAAGAGTTGGTATTATGTATGAGAGTAATGTTTATCAAAAACAATGAAATGAGTCTATCCTAAACTATCAGAAGATAGGTTATGAACATTTCAATTATAAATAAATGTTTTTTCATCAAAATAGAAGAAGTGACCTTCTCATTAGCACATCGTCTCGATTCTTCACAACAACTATCGGACGCAATACAATCTATCGTTGCACCATCGGCCCTTCGACAGACGGCTAAGAATGCGATTTCAGCTGGATTCATGCGGTCAATTGTTTATTCGTGTGATAAAATGATGAAAATGCTCAGATCATTACGTTGAATTGTTGTTGTTCGATTTTAAGTAGCATGTAGCAATATTATGCAGTAGTCAGTCGACTGATCCATTCATATTGTTCTCTAACTGTGCAGTTTTCGTTAACGAAAACTGAATTGAGATAATAAATCAGATCATCATCCAACAGACGTCGTTCATTATAATTAATCGCAATATCCTCTCCGAAAAAACTAGTCACCTCATCCGTACCGTTTGTTTGACCGCACTTCTGTGGCTTTCCGTTTAGTTTAAACCAAAGTACAAACTCTGATAAGGATTTTTTTAACGCTTTAAACTTCTGATATTCGATAACATAGAGAAACGGGTTACCAGTTTGTTGATTATGATTATACATTGTTATAAATAAGTTCACTAGACATATATTTTGTTTTCAATACGTTAGCGTACCAAATAAAATCGATTGTTAATCAGCAAACTCGCATCATAATATCGCAAAAAAGCACCAATGATTAATAAACCCAAAGAACCGAAGATGTAAGAAAACGAGCCGAACGTAATATCAGTAGTTGTGTAGGTCTGTATTTATATTATAGCGTGACACTTGCACTTATGGTTTTTTACAGTAAAGATCGAATATTGTACGAAAGAAAAGCCATAGAAAATCTAAAGCGAAATAGTTCTTTAAAAAGAGAAAAGTGAATGAGATGACCACTGAAATTTGAATGAAACAAAAATTTTCATGGTAGTCACTATGTGCAGTATTGACTGACATAAATATGATGAACAAACTGTATATTACTAATAATTCGCGTGCCATCAGATTTTATAAGCCATTTTTATTGTTCATAAACACAGTGTTAATTTGTAAGATTAAAATTCTAGAAATTAAAGACATCTGTAATTGCACATATTTTTTAATCAATCACGTAACATAGCAAAAATTTTTTCGTTCTGAATGAAGTACTTATCATTGTAGTTGAGAAAACATCTTTATTTGCTTCTTCTATTTATTTATTCTGCACAAAGACTTAATAGAAAACACTGACACATGCAACATGATAAAGCACATATCAAATGTTCAACGAATGCAATACATATATGTATATATAATATGTACAAGCAATGGTGATGGCATCTGACCAACGCTTGGTTGGAAAAATTCGACAATTTCGGTTGTAATTACGACATTCAGAATTCGATCAAGCAGTTTGGAAGGTCGGTCGGAATTCCGACTGTCGGAAGTTCAAAATGTCAATTCAGTCAGATTCTGATCGAACCGCTCTGACAGTCGGTCGGAACTCCGATTGACGTAATGACGAAATTTCATGTCGATCGAATTGCGATCATGAAAATTTCACTGGGATGCCGTCACTATTATCAAGCATCTTATAAACATTCAATCACGAATGTTTTACTCAATTCGTTATGTCCAACGCGGATCTGTTTCTATTTATTTCAAAAAAAAAAAACCGATCTGGCAAATCGTAGGAAGTACACAGTATGCTCACAAACAGAATGAAATGTTTTGATTGGTTGAAATTGACGTGGAATAAAACTTATTTTAAAAAGAACCATACGAAATTAATTAAAGTGGAGTGGTTATATCATAAGGGTTTCGAATAGTTAGACATTTTTGATTGCAAATGGCCTGAATCATAAAAGTAATGAAAAAAACGACCACCTTTTCGCAAAAGAAGAATGAGGAGTGGTACGTACGATTAGGAAATTTTTTATTCTTACTTTCATCTTCCTATATGAACACGACAATAACGCATTTTTCGTGCAGAACGTTCAGTTGTTCGTTTTTTTTTGGATAAAAAGTGACAATATTGAATATGTAAAAATTGTTTTTTAGAGGTTGCATGCGAAAACACAGCTAATGTGCTGTCTAGAAGTAACGCTTATCTCTATCTATAAGTTGAAAAAGGTTGTCATTCGTAAATAGAAAGATACTTGCTACAATAGGGATGTCTACAATAGGGATATTAGCTTAACTAGAAATTTGAATATAACTTAAGTATCTGTTGTCTGCATTCGATCTGCGAATAGAAATGTCTTATCTCATAAACAAAGCGCTATTCTTATCAATTCATTTATTTTGAAACAAACTGTTGCTTCAAGCAATCTTATCAATATTTGTAAGTGAACACCCACGTCGTATAAGTCAAAGTGCAAAATTTTAGTACCCGAACCGTTACTTAATTCTGCTTGCGTTGCATATAGTATGAATGGTTTTGAAGTTAAAAAAAAATACAGGTGACACGCACATTAGGTTGAATCCGTCTATTATCTATAAGAATGATCAAAAGCGAAACATGTGGCAGGTATGACGATAGGAGTGTGTTCTTATTCTAGTGCATCTGAGATGAACGATGATTACGTGAACATTGCAATCCAGTAAACTCAGAATTTCGCATAATTTTGTTGATCAATTTCCTCAAAAATATCACTTTTCAATCCTTGACAGTCCTTAATGAATATAACACAGTTTTCAGTTCAAACTGAGGATTGAATTTCAGTTGCCTCTCAAAATTACTCGTTAGCCAATGATAATCCTAGACATGGCCAAAACCTCAAACTCGACCTCGAACCTCAGTTCAAATTTGACTCACCACGAGAACTGCTTCCACACTCACACTACTAAAGATGGATTACGATAATTAGCTAAATCGAGCATCTACAGAGCGCTGCACAATAAGTAACGAACGCTTTTTAAAATCAACAAGCGATTTTATATACTCTTGCTAACAACTGTATGTGGCGATGTGAAATTCGTTTGGCTTCAAGTGCATGGAGCAACTGATAATTGGTTGCGTGACAAAGGTCATCCCCACAAGTGGCACCGTGTGAATCATTCAGCCAAAGTTTGTTTCGGTCCGATTTTTGAACAAGTGTGCAACATTATGTGCGCATATTGTGATACGCGTGACATGTGATGTGTTACAGTCTCCTGAATTCACACGGAGGAATTTTCATTCTTTTTGATGGGATCACGCGTAATGTGATTGGTGACATGAGCAGTTCTTGAAGTTGATTAAGTAATCAAAAATTAATGGTGATATTCCTATTGGCCGCTGTTTTAACAGGGTGGAGTGATTTGAGGCTTAGGCTCTTTTTAGTGTTTGCACGGGATTCCACATCTCTTAATTAATGGAAACGTCACGAATGTACCATATCCTGCTGAGGTTCACCACGGAGCTTAGCCTCGGGTTTGCGCCGAGATCCACTGCAGCTAATAGTGAAGCTTAAGTCACACGGGGCGAAACTCATCCAGAGTTCAGGCGGTTGCTTGCAACTTCGATGCAACCCAGGGTTAATTCAGGAGATCATATTATATCAACTAGTACGCGTTTTGTAATGCGCGCACACAGTGCGTTCACTTGGCTCAAAAATCGAACAGAAACGAACTTTGGGTGACTGAATAGCACGGTGCCAGTTGTCGGGTGCCACTTGTCACAAAGCTAATTATCCCAGACCCGCAAAATAATCTGCTCTAAGAAAATAGAGCGTGATTTAAGAAGTGTCTTTGAGAACGATGGTCCTGTACGGGATGGAATGAAAAATTTAAGTACAATGAGATTTTAACTGACGAAAATGCGGTGTGGAAAAATGTTTGGTTTGTTTGCAAATGAAGTAGAAAATCGTACCGCGCATTCATATCGCAATTTTGGAAGTTAAGAGGTGGGTAAATGAGAGGCTGAAAGTGACGCATCCTTATCAATTTTTCGTTCAAGCAAACCGTGAAGATACCACAAGATCGTATGAATTACAAATAAACTAAGTACGTGTTGACTGAGTTCTGTTGTTGATATCCTCAAGGTCTTTAAACGATAGAAATTCTTTGGTTCATTTGAATGTTGATTTTCGAATTATTTATTGGAAATGCGTATGTGTCCAGTTGCACCTTCTCTTATTTGCACGGGTGAAGTGAGATTCATCAAGAGTTTGTGGGGTAGATTGGCATAGGTGTGTATTTAAACTTACGTTGTGTGTTAAAGTACGGTTGCGGTACCATCAACGAAAATTCCGTTAAATTTATTTCACTTCTGTGGAGCACATGATGAATAAAAGTTGTTCGTGCTAAACATCTGCTGAGAAGTTGCACATCTGTAGCTGAGCTGCTCGTGATAGTCATGTAGAATTATACCATAGGGAGCTATCTTCTTGCACTAATATATTCCGTGATTGCTTAGACTCTTTCGAAGAGATGTCATGGCTTTGGGATTCGTCTTCAGCGCCTACAACAGAAGCAGTTAGTGATGCATCTGCATCCATCTCCGAACCTTCAGAAAGCAACATCTATGAGAATCGACCCGTTTTTGCCCTCGATCAGATCAAGAATGCTGGTGTACCAATTCAGATGCAAATGTCTCCATATTTGCAAATGGATCCGTCAATTTTCCGACAATCTGCTCCTCAGTAAGTTGCTGTTGTGATTTTTTTCCCGTGCAATTATGATATCTAGATCAGCGATTTTTATTAAGCTTAAACTTTCTGTAATATGAACGGGAAATTCAGTTTAGTTTTCTTATGCTACATGAGATCTTGTTTTATGGAGCTGTAGGTCAGATCTAAACACAATCTCAGTAAAATGATATTTTCTGAAAAAAATCAGTCATCGTACAGTTTTTGATATTTTAAGAGCAAGTATGTGGTAAACATGCTCCGTAAACATTGATCATGAAATGGTTGTAGATGTTGACCACTGTTATTGTAGTGCCCTCGTCGATAGCCCTTTACCAGATTTAATACTGTCAGTCAGAATCAGAACTTTCATCTTATTCGTGTTGCAGTAAGTGGCGCAATCAAATGTAGACAATATTTTTTTCATGCTGATTTTAATCACAACAACTGATTAGAAAGATTGCATCGCTGGAGCTGATTATCGTACATCGAGATGTTTTGCATTCCAGACGGCGTGCACTAAGAATAATACTTACGGGTCGTTGTAACAGTTATGACTATAAAATTGAAATGTGAACGTTATCAGATGTAATTAAGGTATATAATGCCGGATGGGGGGAGTACCGGAAAGGGAAAATTCGAATTTGCGTTAGGACACATCGGTTGGGCTGTTGGTGGTGGATATGCAGTGGGTGCAGTCCGCGGCTTCATTCCAGAGTTCTTCAATCCAGATACACGACAACTTGTTAGTCACTGATCTATTACGAGGACGGAACTGATGAAAAGGGCATCAATTGTCCTCAAAAAATATATGAAGCTTGTTAATGCATCGTACTCATATCATTGATAATGATTTCTGCTGAACGCAAAATAAGATATGATCTAATAATTGCTAATCATTTTTATCCTTGAATATATAGCACAATTGCGTCATGAAAAGTATTTTTCATTCATATTGTCAAATTTGAGTTTGCGAATTAACACTTATGTATGAATCAAATGAACGAAAAGAAAAGTGAAAAGATCTTAAAATCCTAATGAAATGCACTTACGGTGCATTAATTCATGTTTAAGATTGCAAGTGTGAAATTGGAAAGTAATTTGAAAATAAATACAGTCATTATAGAAAGGTAAACCGTGGGTAACAAGAATGATGAATGCAACTGTAAAGCATGGTAGCGGTTACGCACAGCCTGCGGGAGCTGCTGTTTTTCTCTTCTCTGCACTTGAAATTCTGCTGAGAAAATTACGTCCGGATGATGATTTCAACACAATCGGTGAGATGATTTTCAACACAATCAGTCGGTGTTGTCTCAGATAGGTGCGATCAGTGACATCAGCGAAACAATCACCGTGTGTTCTCAGCCAAACAATTATGCGTTTCATGTGTACAGTTTCTACTCCTCTTCTTTTCAGCGGCCGGTGGTTTAGCTGGTGCAGTTTACCGCTCTGCACATGGTCTGAGGGCAACGGCAATAGGAGCAGGTGTTGGGCTAGTCTTGGCTACTTGTTGGGTGTTTGGCAATACGGATAGTCGTCAGAGGATGCGTGATATGCTGAATTATGGATAAGGATCGTGAATGAATGAATGTTTGATTTGATTGTTTCGTATCAATGCTGCATAGCCGGGTGACCCCTTCCGTGATTTTATAGGTGCAGTCGCTCCTTATTCGTTTCCTTTGAAACCCTTAGTCAGCGTTCATAATCAGATGTTGCTAGTTTCAATATTTGCCATTTTTAAAACTTCTATTTTTTCATCTCTATGCCGACGCTTGACTAGAGAATCAGTTCATTGCTTTGAAACTTCGCATTGGTTAGAGCTAGTTTCTGAATTTTATTTATGACAACTACATGGTTTTGAGTATGGTTGGTACATTTTGCAGCTAGCATTTGAAAAGTGTCTTAACCATCCAGCCAGTAAAATGTGGGAATATCTTAACCATCTTCGCGTTTGTAAGGAACGAATCAAATAAGGTGGAGCTGACAGTGAGATTCATAAAGAATTAAAAGTAGTGTTGAGCGTGATCACTTTTGGTGGAACCTGTGAATAGCTACGATGAGCGTTCGAGGAATGAACGAACGGCTGCAAATATGTCACTAATTTTTATAAAAATTTATTCTGTTTTACTACGATGTGTTCGCCATTACTCGTATCTGTTGTGTTTCGTTTTGAATAGAATTGTTTGAAGTTGGATGTTGAATGATCTTTGGTCATTTAAAACCTTTGGCATTCGATCTTCTTCATTGTTGATTGTACTTGAAACGGTCAGTCAGTTAGTGTCTGCCTGTGGTTCTTTTTTGGTTGCAATAAACGAGTGAATTTCGTGTTGGTCAAGCACATTAATTTGTTAAATGCAGTATTATTCCGGTAGGCATTCGGTAATGAGTGAATGGTTCGTAGGTTAACATGGAGCAACAGTTTATATTCAGTGGGAGTTTTGTGGTAATTTCACACAAATAGGGCAAATAGCGGGAAAAGGGTTCATGGTATACCAGCGGTTGTCGTTCATAATATTGGGGCAACAGTAAAACGAATATCGTAACATAAAATGATCACTTGCTTGTTGCTCACAAAAATTGAATATGACTGGAAACAGAAAATTCAGACTTGAATATTGGTGAATGAAAAATATAATAATCGTAGTGCCAACTAGTTGGATTGGTCCATTGTGTTACTGAATGTGATGGTAATGAGTCGTTCTCGCTGAATTGATTATTATCATTCGAAAATCAACATCACGTTATTGCAAACATATGATGTATGTACATTTCATAATAACTTTTCTCTGTTCCATTTACATAATAATTCAGTTTATATTATCGGTCAATTCAATTTGTTTCCTTCTCAACCATGATATGGTCACTTGGTGGCACTAAATTAGTTCTTTGAATTTGTTTGAAGCGTTCTTAAAGCGAAACGTCGTTCAAAAGTGACCAACTCAAAGAAGCTTTTAATAAATGCCGTGGAAATGAGCAGTCATTGTTCTACCGATGTTTCCTCTCACAGGATATTTTTTTTTCACTTTTTCAACGATACCATTTAGCGTTAGGTGTTAGCTTGTTTGTAAATATGAATCGTAATTGCGTTATTAATGACTGCGAGATGGCTCGGCATGAAATTGATCTTTAACGCCTTCCGATCGCTCATCTGTGATGTTGTCAGAATTATATGATGCTCGAAATGGAATCAATTTCCATTTTATGGGTGGTTAGGCATATTGCTTGAAATTAAGTGATAATCCATTACAATCAGGTTTACGACTAAATTAATCTTAGAATTAATAAATGGTGGATGCAGATGGATGATGATATTGTCGACCTATTCGTTGTTGTAATTGTGGTTGTTTTAGCGCTATTCGGCCTCATATATCTCACCTCTCGGGTAACCGATCTTTTCTTTTCATTCAACTCACTCTTCAATACCACTGATTGCTTTTTTTCCCAAGCTGATAGTATTAAACTAAAACTTTGTGGTACGAAAAATGAATTGAAGCATGATCATTCAATTAAATCCATATGTACTAATGAATACAGCAATGATATTTATTACGTTGATTAAATCACAATCTGTGCAATTATATTCAAAAATTATAGACGTACGCCAAACATTTACGCTCTTATATTGCTTTTTGCTGTTGTAAATCTTCAAAATCGAATGAAGAAGGCGTTCAAAGAGCACCAACAACAATGACCAACGTTCGAGTTGTAAAGCATTCAGATTCGTTGCATCACGCACCATTGAATAGCTCATCGACAGTAGGCTCAACAAATGTGCAAAGGTGAACAATGGTTATTTCTGTTTGTATTTCACAGTTTACTCTATTCAGCTATTGAAAACAATTAACTTCTCTCCAAGTATTTCATAACGCACCCATCGCCATGCATTCTTTTTCATATTTCCAACACAATGCAACTTCAGTTTACAGGCATCCAGTCATTTCGAGCTAAGGAAAGTTCTCGGTTTTCGGTCACTGCTCATTTCAAATCAAAATTCTTAAGCATTCTGTCATGCTGTCAAGCATGCATGCACATGTGTGAGAAAGAATTGATGACAAAATTTCGAGTAGCTTTAGCTCAGTGAGCATCACTTCCCCGATATTTCAGTGGATCAGATCGGTGTGCTTTCCGATTTTTGTTGTTCGCTTTTACTCTCTTTTGAGAGGGTATGCCTTGCGATAAAAATTCCACTGCTAAAAGTAGTTCAACCATTGCACCTTCTGTGTAATGCCGATGATAACTAAACAAGTTCTGCGATGAAAGCTTTCCTTGAAAAATTTTATTGAAATAAAATGGGTTTGCATATGTGCATATCTTTATATATGTATGTGTGTTTACCTGAGTTAGATATATACAATATCATGCAAATGAAACATGAATACCCAATATCGGAAGGAAACAATTCGTCGATTCGGAATTTAAAATGAAGTTGAAATTAATTCATTCGTTTACCGATAATGTTCATTAAAAATCTCTTCACGATAATCACAACCAGGTAGGTTAGTGATAGATAAATGACCACGCGCAGGCCCTCCTCCGTTACGAATTTGATTGGTTCAAATGTGCAGGTGCAACTAATATAACTATGAGGAAAGTTAATAGAAAAGGATGAGTTATGAAATATGATAACTAATTAATGAAAGAATTCAAAGTGTAAAACGGCAGTTAAAACAAGGAAATACTTCCAGGATATGTTCACCAACTTCGGAACATTGTGAACAAATACGATCAATCAGATGCGATGATAAAATCGATGCAATGGAAAGTACCGAATGTAAAGGTGTGAATGCGATAGCATCAGCAACACATATACTCACCTCAATTCCTCGTTTGCAAATCATTACGCATTCATTTGAACGCAGTAAATCCTTCTAATTAATTCATATCAATACTTTATAATCATATCCACAATACCAATAATAATACTAATACAGCAAACATTTTATATAATGATAAAGGGATCAGCGCAGTTCATCGTCTCATATCCGAACCGTTTTATTCTAGAGTCGGGTGGGATGATGTAATTTGTTTGCTGAGTTTCACTCATTAGCGATGACCATATTTGGTCATGCCTATTCATGTCATGGCCATACGGTCGAGCTCATTTGAAGCCTTTCAAGTGCTCCTCATATCCAGCTATCTACATGTGAAACATATGTTGTGAAGAGAAATTTGCAATCTCACCTTATTTTCATGCGGTGATTTCTTTCATAGTGCAATAAAAGAAATAACCGGTGATTTCTTTCATTGTTTCGTTCCTCAGTTACTTCCAGTTAAAAAAACCAACACGACAAAATGATACAAAAAATTATATCTTTTTCTTTGTAAGGCTTATTTGTGGTTTGAATTTTGAGTGCTGTTATTACCGTATGAAAACGTGAAAAATCGTCGAGATAATAGCTTTGAAATAAAGGAATAATACGTGCTTATTCAATTCAAGCACCGGATATAACAATGAAGTGGTAACGAGATGTAGCGCACTTTAATTTGCATAATATCAATTTCGCATTACTTTTATAGTAGAGGTATCCTGTCCACAACTCTGATGTAATAAACATTTCTATGTTGATTAACTTTCATTGATGCGAGTAATTCAAGACAATATTGATTAATAGGAAACAAAGATAAATCAGGTAATCTGTCTGCCTTTCCAACGAAATATTTGATGGTAAAATGCACGGTAACAGAGAACCTTTCTAGAGTGGTCGAAAATCATCGCTATACATCACTACCGTGTAAATACTATTGTTACTGTTATTGTCATTATGCACAATACTTTACTATTCTGTTTCAAGTGCCTCGATGAATAGTTGGAATGAAACCCTCTACTTTGAGAAGTAATGTCAACATGAACGACCAAAATGTACCACAACGAAGTCAAAGTCTATGAACAGAATAATTTGTAACAGAAAATGAATAAAAACGATGGCAATAAGAATGGTGAACACAACCGAATAGCGCTTGATGCAGGAGCGTTCACTTTTGTTTTGCAATCTGAAAATGAAACCATTAATCCCTTAAATTCAAAAATTCCTTAATCCAAATTCCTTAACTTGAATCCAATGCGTTTATTTTTCTATTCATCTAGAATTTATTCAAAATGCAACTTTTTGGATAGTTGATCGTACATTGTAAAAAAAAAAAATCAGTAAGTTCTGATAAAAAAACAACATCAAAGCATTACAACTGTTAAATTATGGAAATGTGTTTGATGTTTTGTATTATAGAAGTTATCCAATCAAATACACTGCTCACCATTACCACCTTGACCGATAACAGATTGTGCTTCAGTCAGCAATCGGCAGTATCTACCATGCAAATCGACTTCTATATGATAATTACTTTTCGTTACATCATCATCCAATACGAACGATTTCCGTGTCACTTTGTTATATTTCGGCCAAACTGGCATTGGTACTCTATAAATACCACTTCTTTCAAACAACAGTTCACTTGACGACTATTTCAGCTATGAACGATGAATATTATTCGCACACCACAATCTTCTTGCTTACAGTAACTATCAGCTGATATCAACAAGATAACTGCGAAATTACTTCATAACTCTACAAGCAAATATTAAGAAATAATTTCACCTACACGAAGTAACTGTAAGTAAAAACAAACCCGCTGACCGCAAAGTCAGTCCAATACTTCATGATAATCTCAGAAAATTTTTGTTCTGATGCTAGTTGGACGGCTGCATATAGACTTGTTTGCCTTAACGGCTGTCCAAACGCGTACTCAATTTCATATCCATGCATCACACCCATCCACTTCGGCCATGGATTTGCTGATGACCTGAACATAATAAGCTATGTACTATGTATGCTCTTTCATGTTCATTTCCTTCTGCTCTTACCAATTTCATTTACTTATGCAACTAACTTGCGCACAAGCGATGATTTTTAACGTTCAAAACCATTCTCTAGCCAGTTCTGAACGACCATAGGTGCTGATTCAGTTATTCAGTAGCCTCTTCCTGTTTTGCATGGATCATTCTCCAAAAACTTGGGGAAATTATTTCTCTTTGGGTTCTCAATCAAAGAACTACGCTAAATGTGTTTCTCGCATATTCAAGGCTGCATGAGATAATTGTTATCAACTATTAAAATCTAACTGAAATGCTTACAGATAAAATGTTTGATTTGTTACGCTCACTTACAAAAATGATTTCATATAGGCGGATAAATGTTAGAGTGAAAACGCCTGAAAGTATTTATATTCTACATTGCTAAGATTAGCTAATATCAAATCAGTAACCTTCTTGTAAAATAATACATGTAAACAGATCCGTAAATGTTGTCGGCGAGGATATCTGAGAATTCAACAAGACTGCATGTGAAAAAGAAATCACCAACAAATCTTGCAACCCCATCACGAAGTCTTTCGTGTGAATCGCTGCTTTCCGAAACCTACAAATGTTCTATAAAGATTCCCGCTTTGAAGCTGTTGCAACTCATCAGTGCAGCCAATCATTGTAATATTGATCAAGTAATGATGCGATTTTATCAACCAATCACAAAATGCAACGAAATTTAGTTGTATGATAAAAACTGATAGCATCTAATGAGGCCAATTCGAAAAAAAAATCACGAATTGCATAAATTTATGCGAAGCTGGTTTTAGAAAATGAAGAGTTTGTCACGTTGTTCAACGAAGTTTCATCTAACCCAAATTCAGAGGATCGAGTAGAAAATGAAGAATTAAACGCAATAAACGTTATTTAAACGGTGAGAAAAAAAACCTGCTCATAGGCATGAAGAAGAGCATGCTTAACAAGTTGTGAATCACCAAAATAGGGGATGAATGATTCTAATGATCGTGTGTATTGTCCACTGAAATCAACCAAGCTATATCAACCCGATCGGAGAAAACGAAGAAGTTCCAATAACTTTGAGCGATCATAATAGAACGGTAAATTATAATCGCATGAATGCGGATCATTTGAAATGAAGTCGATCAGAAAAGTTTTTTTCATCCATTTGACATGTTAAAGTTCAACTCTGCATACAATAACTGAGAAAAAAATTTAGAGCAAAACTGAATATGATAAGAAGTAGTTGAACAAATGAACAATTATTTGAAGATTCATCTTGATTCTGAGAAGATCGCCTAATTATCGTCAATTCATCCATTTCACACAATAAATTTCGTGATGAATTAATCACAATCTGATATTGGAAGAAATGATGCAGCAAAATGAAGCAATAAGAAGGAATGGTAACCGATTGATGAGTGCTCGATTCATTGGATCGTCGGCTGATATAGTATGATTGAATTGAAAACCCATTTTAGGACTCAAGAGATAATATGGTAACCAATAAGTACCCTCATCCTTCATAGAACCAATCAATATACTAATATCCTTTTTAAAGTCACGATTTCGTAGTTTGATGAATACACTTCCCTTGAATGAAACGGTGTTGACCACTGGAGTGAACATGAATATATTTCATCATATGGTGAATACATTCGTATTGACCATATGATGAAACGAACGTGAATCAACTCCACCAATACAGGTAGATATAGGAAGAATTAAGTCTTATGATCCAGTGACTTAACTAAAAAATCCAAATCTTTAAATATGTGGGATACTGATGTTTGAAACTGAAATATTCGCAGAAATCACTGAAATACAACAACTGAATTGACAATAACACCTTAGAAGCTTTCCAATATTTTTCAATGATGTTATGGTTCATTACTGGAATTTTTCCCATGAAACAGCGATGGAACTATAGAATTATTCAACTGAATGGTTGTGAGCGAATTCGAAAAAAAATAGAAACAAAGTGAACAAAGTAGAAAATAAATTTCAATTTTGAAACGATGCAATGAAATTAGAGATATAAGAAGAACCTGAAAAAAATTATCATCTTCTTCGACAGGTACGAAGGGGAAAGTCATGGGCAAAATTTGGTCGACTCCAACGGCATCTGCAGCGCGCTGAAACTTTTTGCAATTTCAATGAGATTGTTCAAGCGATGAATGAATTCAATTTTGTACACACAGAGCAGCAAACATCTTAATCTAGATACAAACTTGGATTTTGGAGGCAGGTGCTTGGCGAACACAGTGTGCGATATAGGTGATATCGGGATGCTGATCGTATGCATTCGTACAATTCAATTTCCTAGCAAGAAACATTGATGTTTCAAACATCATATCCTTGTCTTTCGTTGCCCATGAATTTATTATTGTGCCACTCTGAAAATATGAGTTGTTGATTAACAACAATAAATTAACTTTTCATCGATCAATGGAGTGTGAAGTGTCTCACTTGGGTAACAGAATGCATTATTTAAAGTTCTTCCATAAAATTAAGAAATTTCAGAACGATTTTTGAAAGTATAGTTTGAAAATTTGTAGACGTTAGCATAAATTGATGCTTCAATTAAGAAATCTATTTTTGACGTTTTCTTATGAAATACTTCAAAAGTGAATTAGAATAAAAGCATACAGTCAATATTCGCATCTCGTCATTTTTCACTGATTGTGAGCAAAATAGAGATGATACTTGGGCAGAAGGAGGACTTCTGTGAGATGCTTTCATCAGATCATATCAAGAAACAAACAACAAATTAAATCTCACATCAAGCATCCACAAATGAGAATGCACAACTGATTACCGACAAACCAATCAATCTATTCAATCAATTCAATCGATTCCAATCGATTCAATCAATTCAATCGATTCCAATCGATTCAATCAATCAATCAACCAATCAACCAATCTGCTGTCGATTTTTGCTAAAACTTGGAGATCAGTTGATCATATGATGTATTCATCATTCTTTCATTTGATTTACCAACACTTTCCTCAAAATTTGAAGGAATAGTTCAATTTACCATCACAATTGCCTTCTGATAGTAGGCAAAGCTTCCAGGTGCAAAAAAATGCGCAGTAACTGATGCGGCACCAGCACTTTCCCCAAATAATGTCACCTGCAAGCAAACGTTCAATGTGCTGAAATCGAGTACAAGAAACAGATGTTGGTCAAGATACGAATATTTCAACGAATTGCTAATCACAGAATGTTAGTCAAGCACATATATAGTATGGTATCCTCATTATCACCAATGAATCGAAAATAATTTCTTATTGATTTGGAAATATTTCTTGCTCGATTATTCAAATTGTTTTGTGGCATTACTTTAAATATTTTCGGATTTCGCTAAAACATGGAGATAAATAGATCACATTAAGTATTTATTATTGTGCCATTTTATCGATATAATTGTTTAATCGCAGCAATGAATCGTGCCTTATTGCTATGAATAATTTTTTGCGTTTGACGGTTCCGTTTTTTTTGTCACTCAATAGGTACTTAATGATTGCTATGATTCGATAATAGAAAAGTTCCCAAAAAATGTTGATAAATGCCATCATAGACGAATTCTATCGAAGCGATTACATGGTGCTTTGTTCCTAACGGAATTAGTAAAGTTGCGGTTCATCAATCGAATTTTACCATCACCAACAGCCAATGTGGTGATAAGGTAACTCATTTCACAAATAACTGTTGTGAATTGCAATGATTTTAGGTGAACATATTGATGTAATGAGTGATTATGAAGCTGGATAAATATACACATTAGGGTGACGCAAAATTGGCAGAAAATTCTTCTCCCTTAATTTTGAAGCTCCGGGTAGAAATAATTCATGTGGTCATAGAAAAACTCCTCATAAATCTTGCACCAATCGAATTTCATCGCGAACTACGCCAATTTTTCATTATGACAGCAAGCATTTATAACCACTGAGTGTTCCTCTATGTTGTTGGCTTTTTTGCACTTTTCTTACATATGCGAAACAGAAATGATTGAAATTTATCAAGAAAAAAATCAATTTCTGTAAAAACTCAGTCAAATACAGGGTGGGGCAAAGAACCTGACACGTTTCAAGGTGTAATAAACCACAATGGAATGTGGTGTAATCAACAAAACTCTTTCTATTATCCAAATCTGCATGTCACCAGCATTTTTAAATTTTGTTTTAAAAAGTACATCCAACAAATGTTTATAAAATATTCGCCAATCTCTTTTTTTTGAAGACAATCTCACAGTGACTGTTACCTCAAAACGAAAGTTTGTGTTGCTGAACACTTTTTTGAAACCAAAACTGAATGAACTTTAGGTTAGAAATAATGTTTGGTTTCAACAGGAAGGTGAAACAGTTCACACTTCGAGACGTTCGATGAAAATGTTGAGGGAGATGTCCCTCGGTCATCTGACCTCATCGTGCGGTGATATCGGCTGGTCTGCCCGATCACGTGACTTGGATCCGTGCGATTTTTTTCTGTGGAGATATCTACAATGAAATGTTTACAAACACCACCCTAGGTCTTTTGAACAACTGAAATATGCCATTCGGCTGGAAATTCTTGCTGTTCCACTTGAGATGATCCATCGTGTTATTGAAAGTTTCAATGAGTGTCTTGATCAGCGTGTGGTAAATAACGGGAAACATTTGTTGGATGTACTTTTTAAAACAAAATTTTAAAAAATGCTGATGACATGTAGATTTGGGTAGTAAAATGAGTTTTGTTGATTACGCATTCCATTGCGATTTTATTCCACCTTGAAACCTTGCACACTGCAAATGAACCACGTGCTTATCAAGTTACTCATGCAGTACCTGCACATCGTTGAAGGTCATACTACTTCGCCAAGTCTGATTATTACATAAATTAAGATAATCTATGAACCTTCTGCGAGAAGATATATTCTATGAAGAACCAGTTTTTAAAAAGGTAATGTGTCACTAAGTGTACCCCTTATGTGACAAAGAAATCAGCCGTTAAAAATTACGGATAACATTCACTGTATAAAAAAGAGGTTCAAAGTTGGAGCGCTGAGCGTGAGCTCCAGTAGTAATATTTTTTCCTGAAATTCTACATGAATTGCTTGTTTGAAAAATTTGAATCATTTCTGCCTTGCGTATCGAAAATCGCGAAGAAAATTTCAAAAAAAAAAAAAACAAACAGTAAGGAGGAACGCTCAGAGGCAATAAGCGCTTACAGCGGTAATGAAAAATCCAAGTAACTCGCGCAGCTCCGGATGTGGTTTGGATGCTACGAAATTTTGCGAGTTTTCCTACGATATATTGAATCATTTTAGCGAATGCTTCAAAAGCTGGAGGAGAAAACTGAAAAATCGAGCAATAAGGTGGAACGCTTAATTTATGGCTACACTGAAAGGTTCGAACATTTTGCAGCAACTCCAGGGGCAATATTCTTCGCTAAAATTTTGCATGAAATGGTTTTCAAGCGAAGTAAACCAGAATCGGTCAGTGTTTAACAAATCCATGTATTTTGCACATTCTAATAACACACACCTTTCGAGGATCACCACCGAAAGCACCGATGTTCTCGTTAATCCATCTGAGTGCGAGTTGTTGATCCATCAAACCCATGTTTCCAGGAATCGATGATTTTGGACCAAAGTAAAGAAAACCAAATGGACCTAACCTAAACGAACAAGTTGAAAAATTAGCTATAACCAATTCCATACTTACACATTATTCTTCGTCTCCTTTATATGATATTGTTTTGTTGAACCGTTCATTCTTACTTTTCATACTTTCCACTACCCTTTTCTGATACATTTAGCAATATGTTTTTCAGCATTTACATTGTTACCGCACTTTAGCTTTAGTCCTCTAACGTTAAAGAAGTTAGAACTTGATCGAAAGTTGCACATTTATAAAGTATACGCTCAAGTATGCTTTATCTTCAGCTTATTGTTGCCTTAAATTCTTCCGTGAAAAGAACTGATGAATTCGAGATCAGGTGCAATACGGATCAAATACTTAGCTGTTGCTCCTAAACCTAATAAAAATTCCATTGAAGTTAGCAGAAATCGTCAGACTTTAAATTTTGGATGATGCCTCTAATTCACACAATGGAAGTCCATAGAACACGACAACTTATACAAAACTGTTTTTCGCGCCCAACTGCATGAAAGTATCTATCGGGTGCAAACTGAGCGAGCTGTGATTGAGGAATAGATAAGTTTGCTGGATCATTATCAAAATATTCACAGCCCTCTTTGTGCTCTTCTTGAGAAATTCCTACGTGCACCACTTACATACATACTTATCTTTACCAAATTAAGAGCGAATCACGTGAGAACGGTGTGGTGACATGGCAAATTACGGTTACTCAATACTGATCAAAACGCTTGATGGAAAGCAGCATGCACATACTCATTCGGCCACCAGTCTAGGCTGACCTTATGCAAACCGGATAGAGATAGTGTCCAGAAGGGATAAGAACAGACTGCAAGCTGTGATATACCGAAGAGAAGCAGAATGAAATGCGAACCTATAATTAATGTTAACAACAATGACTTCTTGCCGAGAGGCAAGCACTCGACCATCATACAAATCCAATGAGGGACTTCCCGAGAAGAAACCACCACCGTATATCCACACCATTACTTTACCATCATGCTTGGAAGGCACCCAAATATTCAGTGCAAGACAATCCTCATCGAATATCTGAAACTGCTCAAAAGTGATAAGCGATATTCGAAAGAATATGCTACTCAATTGAACAAACACTGAAAATTTCAAATAATTTCTTCCTTTTTGGGCTCTTCAACTACGATCAACGCAGCATACGATAACTATATTTTGAATAATTTGCGCTTGCTTAGCCATACAAATTTTCCGTTTAACTCGTATTTCATTCTTCGAAGAAGTTATTATTAGTTTTTATCTATTACTCGTGCCTTGTTCGGGTATATTATCTGTTCTTCAATTGCCATAATCTTCATAATTATGTTACTATTATCAACACTTCGCCAAGAGTTGAACAAAACCAAATCTGAACCCCTGAATCTGAATTTGCCTAACGGACACTTTTAAATGGATATTCTGCCTAATAGCCAAACTGTTCGTTAGGCGAACTGTCCGTTAGGCAATGTGTCTTTAGGCAAGCTGTCCTTAGGCAAAACGTCTTTAGGCAGATTATCCAGGTACTGCCTTATACAGTCGCATTTCCGTCGCGCATGGCAAAAATAACGCAAATAAATTTTCGAATGTTTACGCTTCAAACGTTTAAGACTTATGATTGTAACAAAAGGAAACTAATGAAGAGAAGAATTTTGTACGATGCTGGAGGAAAGAGAAATGATCGATGAATACGCGATTGAAAATTATACGAGAAGATTGGATTCATTTCTTCGCGTTGCTTCATTGTGACTGAACGAAATGAGTTGCGGTAAGAGTAAATGAACAAGTTGTTTGGAGGAACGCACTTCGAAAGCAAAAAACTCTGATAAGTGCAGTCAAAGCCAATTAACTTGACTTTTGCAAATGAAAGGAAATGGAAAAACATAAGTTGATGTTAGAAAACACATTGAGTGAATGAACACACATTCGGGGGATTCCACATTTCAGCTCCGGGAAATTGAGGGAACTGGTTGTCAGGCGTAATATAACAGGTTCGAGCAAGCTTGCGAGCCTCAAGCTCACCTTGCCAAGGCTCGATTAGCTCGGGTAAAGCAAACCGACGGCTTCCTATAGGTGGTCGAGCGAACGGTACTCCGAGGTAGGCGTTTACCACTGCATCTTCGAATTTCTGCAATAATTTTCAAATTAAGAGATTGCATGAAGCATACCTAGTGAAAAACTCGATTAGAAATAAATTCCATTCTCGAAAACAAGCAGCAAAAAATGGATTGTGCTAAACCGCTCAAGTGACATCATATGGGTGGTCAGCAATCCGCCAAGAATCTGATTCCAAATCTGTGTGGATGTCAAGAGGCTCTTTTTTTGCTTATAAGGGTGTTTGGAAAAATTGAACAGTTTTCATTGCAGAAGAAATCAAAGGGGTGACATGTTAGAAGAAAAATAGCTGCAATAGAAAGAGACCTGTTGAACGCCTCGAATGGTACCTAGTTTGGTGTGTACGATGGCGTCGTCGTGCACGGTGGCCCTTGAACGAATAGCGGGCACTGAGCACAATAACAAAATCACGGAATACATGTGTGTCATCCTCCGTCTGCATCCTATTCTTTCATATTTCACTCCACTTTACCTGCAATTACAATCTTCGAAAAGCAATCGTACCCAGTTCTCTTCAGTTTCATTCAGACAATCATTATTCAATGATTCCTCGCTGTGAATCATCTTCATTCGCAATCAACAAGGCAATAACTCGCTTCATTGAAATGAATTATAAGCAATCTTGAGTGTTTGCGCGAAGCATAATTAAAGCCAACTTTAGATAAATAATCTACATCGCTAAACTATTCGTAAAATTCATGGAGAAAGATTGAATCCCACATTATTAGACTGGTGGGAAATTAATCTCTGATTTTTAGTGGAAAGTGCAGCAATGGAGTACAACCAAAGCATGTCAGTTCAGAAACATATAACTCAGTTGTTTGGCAAGCGCTCGACACGACACGATGCCATCACGAACTTACTTGTCATTGACTTCTTTTGTCGTCAATTTCAGCGCGAGCTTGAAGTATTCGTATTGCTTAGTTGCTACATCGCTAAGCACTGAACAATTGATTTAAACTACCACATTAATCGCTTATTGAAAAATTGGCCGATGAAAATACCAATAACGATTTGGACTATTTTGCTGCTGATTCTTAAGCATCTGCGGTCGTCGCTTTTAGTGCGTCGAAAGAATTGCTTGAATAAGAAGCAAATAGCAGAGCCTATGCTTTGTTGTTCTTTGGAATGGCGGATTTTAATTCTCACCCACCTAATAATTATTAATTATGATACAACGCAAGTTTAAATATGCTGTCCAACGAAAAATACTGCTATAGTATATTTAGTTTAATGAATTTTTATGTAAATAATTGGAAATATTTGGCATTACAATGAATTATCATAGAGTTCTGGTGACTTCAAGTTGGATAAGACATACACTACAGTGATACGTTTGGACAGGAGTTGATTGTCTATTGATTAAAATCATCGTAAATCTTAGTAATGGAATATAACAGAAGATTCATCCAGACCACTGAGATAACATATACATCTGAACTTTGATTCAAGAAGTTAGATTTAACAAATGACTAAAGTAAGACCAGTTTACGATGAAATTGGTTAGTAAGAAAGAAAACCGACTGCAAGAATAATGATAGCAACTGAAAACACTTCACTTCAAAAGATTCAATAATAACTTTCAAGCGTGATTTTTTGTTTCGAGGCCCAATTTGCAGATTTATGAAGATGTGAACGATTGTGTTCAGATGCTTGAAGGCAATCGATTGTCTGCAAGAAATATCAGCACATCGTTTCACTGACATCAAATAGCCATAAAATTTGAAAACCAGTAGAAGAATTGTTTTGAAGGTTACGTTCGAGGAGTGTTTGAAAAGAGTTAAGAAGTTATGAACTGAATGAATAAATAAATAAGTGTTTATTAAAGACAACTGCGGATTGTTGTCGGCTATCGATGAAGAAATATAAACAAACACGAACACACACGCATACACTCTCGGCATCCATTGACACAGCACTACAGGGTTTAATAAACGTTTCTTTATCTATTACACAAACCAATCACAGCTCACTAGAAAATGCCCGAAACATGGAGGAAATGTTCATGAAGAAATCGGTATATGCATGCGAATAAATTCAACGATCAATACTGCATTACGAATTTGAAAAAAAAAACATCAAAAAGAAACAATATCCGATCAAAGATACATTTACAGCTTCCAACGCTTTGCGAAAATGTAATTACCTCAGCTGATATTCAATCCGAAAAAAACTTTATTCAATATGAATACAGCAAACATCTAAAAATGTGGTTACTTTTGCTGCAGACATTATCGAAATTAAAAAGTTTAGATCATTCAGTTAGAAAGCGCACGATTTGATTAAGTTGAGATGATTGAGTACTAAACGCAGACCCAAAAACAGGAAATTAAAGAGCACGTAATTATACTGCATGGATGAAATTGATAAATGTCACAAATACAATCTATCAAATTAGGCGTAACGCAGCAAGCATTGACTGCAACGCGGTCATTGATAATAAATATATAAATAACTGTCAGTCAAGCTACAATAAACTACCATTCTAAAGCAACGAATCAACGCAAACGTTGTACATAATTCACATGCACAACATCGTGTTTGTTTATGAAGAGATGAATGCTAATTTACGAGATAACGAAAATGTGTTCACAAAATAATGGCGGTAATATTGGCTATTGGATGGATCATTCTGAATCGTTGTTTTTGAAGTATGAATGAATAGATAAAGAAATAATAATAGAGCGAGGAGAAGTGATTTTATGATGGCTCAATAAATTCGAGTGTAAAAGAAGAGCTGAAGAATGGAGGAAGCGAAATGTTGAGACGACGAATAGAAAGAACGAAATAAATAGGTGGTTATAATAATTGTTAGAGGCAAACATTAGTAATATTTGTTACTTATAAGCAAACATGCTTTGCGATTGGCAGC